CCTGGAGATGGGGCGGGCTCCGACCGACTCGCTGGAGAGACCGAACCGGGCGCCACGGGTGGCGTTACGCACCGCAGGGAGTGGAGCCTCCGGCCTCAAGTCCGAGACTCTCCGACAGGTGCCCGGTGCCCGCTGCTGCGGGTGCTGGCCGCCGCCACCCGGTTCCCGGAACCGCAGCGCTGGTCTCTCTTTACTGGGAGGCGGGGCCTGTCCGCGCTTCCGTATTCGTCATCAAGAGGTGCCCGTTGGGAAGCTCCCAATTGGACAGCTGGGGCGAGGCATGCTGGGATACCGCGCTCTGGTTTCCATAGCAACCAGCCGACATTCACCCTGGCCGTCTGCGTGTGGAAGAAACCCTGGCGGCTTCCTTGCTTTACAGGTGGTGCCCCTGGGTGCGCGGTCACCCTCCTCCAACCCCCCGCGGCGTGAAAGAGGAGAACCCGCGCCCCCTCCGCCTGCCCGGTTCAGGAGAGAAACGGAGCCAACTGTAGTTGTGAACACGCATTTATTTACATTGTCATTGGTAGGCAAACAACCCAGCTCAGTCTATTCTAGGGTACAGGAATCGCAGACCCTTCCCTTCTCCAGAACTCCCGAGGCCTGGGAGAACCAGCAAGTTTAGGCTTCAGCCCCAAAGCTGCGAACTAAATTCAAAGTCTTTATCTGATTTCTTTACAAAAAGCCCATTTTGTTAAGAACTCAGACCTCTCCCTCTGCACCATTCATACTTTTCACTCTCCTACTGCCTACCCACCCAAGATCGTTAATAATAACAATAACAAAGACAATAATACTGTAATAATATTAATAACACTTCACATTTTTACGAAGCTTACAGGGTGTTTTCACATATAGCATCTCATCTGAGCCTCCCAACAGTTCTGTGAGGTAGATATTCTCACCTCCCTTTTTACAGACGGCATAGCTGAGGCTCAGAGAGGGAATAGGATTTGCTCAAGGCCACACAGCTAGTTAGTGGTAAAGCTAGGACTTGATCCCAGCACCCCATATTCAAAGTCCAGTGTTCCAACACCACAGCTCCCATTGTCGAGTGGAGTGACATTTCTTACCCCTACCAGGCGTGAGGGGCAGCCTCAGGAGAGAGGAGGCTGAGACTTCTCAAACTAGGGCAGGGAAGGACTCAGCAGTGACGGGTGGAGTCGGGGTACTTGGCCTTCAACTCCTGTTTGAACTGGCGGTAGAGAATCTTATTGTGCTGATTTTCAGCTTCCTTTTGGGGGTGGAAATCCAAGGTGTCTTTGAAGCCCTTATGAATCAGGAAACCTTCGTTCAGCACCTCGAAATCAAATCCTGCCACGTGCAGCTCACAGGCCTGTAGGGGGAGAGAGAGGTCAGCAAAGCCTGATGATTATTCTAGGGCCAAGACTGACATCCTAAAGCCGACTCCAGCACCCCCACTCCTCCGGGGCACCCTGGATCTCCCACAACCACCACTGACCTATCATTTCTCCTGCCTCAATGCCCACTTCCCATCCTGGGCCACTCATGGCTCCCAGACCCCAGCACGCCTCCTGCCCCATTTCCCCTGCCCTCTCCCTTATAGGCACCTGGCTGATGCGATTGAAGCCGTACTGCCGAAAGCGTTCGTCGAAGGCGGGAACCTTGCCTCCAGCCACGTAGAATGGCTCCCAGGGGTCCTGCCAAGGCACCACGTAGGCAGGCCTCAGCAAGGTCTCTTCAGGAAGGTTGACCCAGCGGGAGTAGTTGGTGGGCGCCTGGCAGGGCGTGCACAGCCCATAATAGAACGGCTGCACCTCGTCCACCTGGTAGAGCTTCAGCAGCTCGTTCTTATTTGTGGGTATGCGGCGGGCTCGGCGGATCTCAAAGGCAGGCACCACGAGCGCTGTCCCTGCCCACTGCTTGCTCTGACCCAGCATCTCCCGCAGGCCTCTCCACAGTCCCTCGCTGGGCACCATGTCCACATCGATCACCAGGGCATAGTTGGCCCCCTCACGAGCCAGATTCCTCAGCAGGTTATTGGGGTAGGAGACGTTGGTACCTAGTGCGTAATTGACCCCGGGCTGGGCCACTCTGGCTAGCTTGTCGAAGACCTGCTGGCAGGACCGCAGCAGGGCAAACTCCCCCGGCTCCCGGGGGTCGGGCACAGCGGCCTCATAGCGCGAGGGGCACACCAGGTGCATGGCAACTCTGGCGCGAATATCGGGGCAGTGGCTGCTCAGCGCGTAGGTCAGCACCGTGGCCAGCTGCGCCTCCTCCTTGGTGGCGGCGAACACCGACACGGATAGCGGGCCCTCCCAGCGCTCCAACAGGCCCGACAGATGCGGCAGGTTGTCCACGCTGGCGTGCGTGGCCAGGACCACATCATCGGGGTCCATGGTGGTCTTCAGTAGGCCCCTGTAGACGCGGTAGTCGCCGCTGGTGTCCAGGACGCCTCCGGAGGCCAGCGCGGCGCGGAGCTGCGCCTTGACCTGGTCCACAGACCGCGGGGACGGGGGGAAGAACTCCAAATACTGCTCTTGCTCCTCCTGTCCGTGGAGCCCGGACAGCAGCGACAGGTAGAGTAGCTGCAGCATCGCCACCAGCATTAGCGCGGCCAGCAACAGCTGGTAGAAGGCGCACCGGATGGCGTAGGACATCTGCATGGCTCTCGGGGCTCGTGGCGCACAGCAGGGACCACCGGGCCACAGCCTCGCCAACCGCCGCAAGCCCGGATTTACCGCAGC